GCCACCACATTTGGCATCACTTCAAATTTCAGAGACTGTCCACTGAGTTTAAATCTCAGCACTGGTCTGAAGAATAAAGAATATGCATTATAAATGGGAACCATTATTATACTGAAAGTCTCATATCTCTGGAATATATGGGATGATACATCAGCTAGAAATATTTTTTTCTAAAAGTCCCAGAAGGTCTCTCTCTCTCTCTCTCTCTCTCTCTCTCTCTCTCTCTCTCTCTCTCTCTCTCTCTCTCTCTCTCTCTGGCTCTCCCTCCCTCTTTCTTCCTATGTCTGTTTCTGTCTCTCTCTCTCTTTCTGTTTTGTTTTGAGAAAAAGTCTCACTATGTAGTTCAGGTTGACTTTGAACTCATTATGTAATTCAGGCTGGCTTTGCACTTGCAGAAATTTTTCTGCCTCAGTCTCTCCAGTGCTGGGATTATAGATAAGTGGCATTACACTCAGTTCATTGTTTATTTCAGAAGTTCTCAAACTTCATTACACTTAGTCAAAAGGGTTATTTAATAGTTCTTTTGATTATGTATTTAGGTCCCAAACTTAGTGAATACTTACAGGCTGACAATTTTGTAGCCATTTGAAAAAGACAGACCTATAGAAAACATAATACACATACTATATATTGAAAAAGTACACATGTATTGTGTGTTTATATAAAAGTATACATTGAAAATAATACATTTACTCTAAATATACATTTATGGGAGAACACACATTTTGCTTGTATCTTTACTATGCTTAAGTGACGGTGATTGAGTAAGTTATTTCTTGAGTTCTTTACCTTTCATTCTTAAATACTACAATTCCTCACCACAATGTGACACGACACGTGTGTGCCTTTGGAACACCACACAGATTGCATGCTACCACACTCATTTCTTCTACATTGATCTTCCTGGAGCACTTGGATTTTATTGTAGCAACCACTATAAACCACTTTCACAAAGATATGTTGTCACTGAAACAAATGTAGTGCCATCTAATATTAAAGATGTAAACTTTCTTGAGCTAATAGTTCAAACAGTACCTGACATCTACTAAGTATCACTGTATTACCTTTGAAGGTTTTAAATATATAGCCTCTCCATGATTTATGAGGGTGCTCTGGCACACAACTTAGGAACTGCAGATTAATCTGACAGGAAGTCTGGACTAGGTAGTCTGGAGGCTGGTTTGGTGGCTTGCTGATTTTGTCATTCTCGATAAATGGTACCTCATGGTCTTTTTATGGTACCAGAGCACTGGCACTTTATTCTTGTATGGCAATGTAGCTGTCATTGCAAGAAAGGAGGAAGGGAAATTTCCCAGGATAAAATATGACCATCTGTACCTGGTGGTAATTGTAGAGACATCTTGAACTTCTGTCATCCAAATAGGGATAAATACTAGAAGCCTTGATCATGCCAACAGGGAATGGAAGGCTGGGATGTTTGCCACCCAAAGAATTCCTTAGGAAAATACCAGCTCCCTCATCTGCTGGGTTTTCTAGTGATTTTTGAAGGCCAGTATGGTGTGTATGTGAACATCAAGCAATGGAAAAATTCTCATGGAGGAGAAATTCACTGTTTTACTTGAATCACTGTCTAATTTTCTCTGGAGAGCCAGTGGTTTTGGAATCCATCTGTAACTCTAGTGAGGAGGGTGAATGTTTAGAGAACTGATTATCTGGTTGGCCTAGGAATCAGTGAGGAAATGGTACCTGATTTGAGATTTGAATGAAAAGCTAGTAAAGTGGACAAAAGAAGACAGCGAGAGGGCAGTGTGGTGCTGACTGGGAGGGCTGGGAGTGTGTGTCTTGCCTTGTATACTGTACAGGGTTCATGTGACAAGGGATGAATCACAGGATAGGACTTAAGGCCAGGTCAGCTAAGGAAACCTGGTTTTGCCTGGGAACCATGGAAGACCTGTAGGTACTTGAATAGGAAACCTGTGGGACAGCTATGGTGAGATTAGACCTAAGAGTCACACAATATCTTTCTTCTTTCTCCTTTGCACACAGCTGGACCGTGTTTTTCATACTCTTTTGCAGTCAAGTGGAAGCCTTGTGATCAAGTTCCAGCTGTTCAAGGCTGGTCATTTCCAGGGCTAGCTCATGGCACTCTCTCACATGAGCCTGTGTACCCTTTCTTTCCCCATTTGCTGGAGAAGACCCAGGACTTTGAAGGTATATCTACAGGGTGGCACTAAGCTGGTTCCCTAAGTCACCAGTTGGTAGAAGCCTGCTATGGATTGTTATGAGATCAGTGAATCAATGTTTATTAAAGCATTGTAGGGTGGGGAGAAGTATTTGTTACAGCAGTTGGCCTATTCTAACATGTGTCATATCCATGCCTATCTGTGATCATTGGGTTTTACTCTGAGTTGGGTCCTATGCCACAGGCATTGTCTCAGTTCATGCACAGAACACATCTTTGGGGGATGGGCATCGCCCCAGCTCACTCTTACAGAAGAGACTGAGCTTGACAGAGCAAATAGTGGGTGAAGACAGAGAGTTCTGATCCTCAAGTCTGTCCTCTGTGGCTAAGTTGTGCCCTGGTGGCTCCGGCATGAAGGGAATGGGTAAAAAATGACTGAGGCAAAAGGTTAGATAAGGAATTATTATAGCAAAACCAGCAGGGTGTTCTTGCCTGTAAAATGGAGAAAATAGCGAGTTATTGTAAATACTGACAGAATGAATCTCAGGAGTTTAGTTCAGGGGTTCTACCTGGTGCATAATGCATGCTAGTTTTGTTTGTTTGTTGTTTTTAAAGCAACAGGTGATGAAAGCCTGGGTGAAAATAGGAGATAGTTGCTCTGGGAGCCACACTGAAAAGTTTGGGCAAAGAACTAAGGAGATAGCAAAATTGAAGGTTGGATGACTATTTTATCTTCCTGTTTATGGGGACAGGGAAGGAAGGTCTAAGATACATCTTGTACATGAGCCGTGGGGTAGAAGAAGGGAGAGAACAGATTTCAAGATAATTAGCAAGTAAGCAGCTCCTAAGCCCTTGGAGTTGTACAAATGTTCAACAGAGGCCATGTGTTCCCCGGGGCTGCTGGCTGATAAAGCTGTCAGCAAACTGTAGAACCCTTGTCCAGTTGCATCCACTTCTTTTCTGAGGCAGATACTGTTAATTTACACTGCCATGAGGCAATCATTTAACTTCTTTGTGCCTCATTCTTATCATAAGGGAGCGGGGATAAAAAGTAACAGGATGAGTCTCTGAGGGTTGTTGTGAACAGAAACAGCATTCAGCAGAGGACTGGATCTGTAGTAAGCAGTAAATGGTAGAAATTATCATTAAAGCTCCCTTGTCTCTAACATTATTTCTCCACCTACAAATTCTTCGATAGTAGCCATTAGTCCAAAGCAGAATCCTCTACTTGCATGATTGTTGTTTCATCTCCAGCCAACTCAGAAAAGTGACAGACTCGCAGCAGCAGCTATTTAAATATTCATTGAGTGAATGAGTAAGGAGATCTATCTTACCATTTTTTCTCCCCCTGTCTTTTACCCATCTATCCCTTCATCCACCCACCCATCCATCCATCCATCTTGCAAAATAGTGGAGTAGGTTAGCTTGCAAGTATTTTTTCTTCCAATAGTGGTAAAATGTACATAACATAAAGTCTACTATTTTAACATTTTCCAGTGTACTGTTTAATGATGTTAAGTACATTCATGCTATTTTGCATCCAATTCTATCATCCATCTCCAGAACAGTTTAATTTTCCCAAATTGAAACTCAGTATCCATCCTCTCTCATCTCTAGGCTTGGAAGCCATTATTCAACTCTTCATACCTATAAATTTGGCTACTGTTTGTACATTGTAAGTGGAATCACAATGCCCTTTTGTGACAGCCCACAAGTTTTACAATCACATATGTCGTGTAATGTTGAGAAAGTCAATCTCCCTGAAACTCTTTCTTGTCTGTAAAGTGACTATAAAAATAGTTCCTGTCCCACAGTGTTGTTGTGAGGTCAAAATGAGATACACACAAGCCTTCCTAGTGCCAGGCACACTGAAAGTGCTCAATAAGTATTAATGACATCTAATTATATATTCTAAATTAATGGACATTAATATTTTTATACCACATTTATTGGTGTATTCTAAAGAAATAGACATGAGTATTGTGCCCATCATGTGTCTGGCATTGTTCTGAGTGCTTTACACATACGAACTCATTTAAAACTTATAGGGAGATGGGTTCACAGATGAGAAAAAGAAGGTGCAGAGAGGCTAAGTAATGTCCTCAAATACAGCTAGTTCATGATAGAGCTGGAATGTCAACCCAGGCGGCCTGGGTAGGAGATGTAGTTAGTGGTTAACTGCATATCTAGTATGCTTGAAAACATGAGTTTCATCTCTCAGTACCAGGGCAAACCCCACCCCCCCAAAAAAAATCCCTGCAGGCAGCCTGTTTCCAAAGGCTCTGGGGGTACCCTTACACAACAGAGCCACTTTGTCTCTGCTGCTTTTTCCTGTGTGAGATCATCATCTGTACATTCAGTCTTGGCTTAGACTGTCAGGATGAGCACAGGTGGCTGGGCCTCAGAGGAGATGTCTGTGGGGATTGTAGACAAATGACTGAGGATGAATTTGCTATATATTTGCTTGCACCCCTGGGGATTAAACCCCTGGCCTCTGCACTGAGCTACAGCCCCAATTCTTTGTTTATTTTTGAGATAGGGTCTCCCTAAGTCACTAAGTTGGTCAAGCTGGGCTTGAACTTGGGATCTTCCTGCCCCAGTTTCTTAAAGTGCTGGGGTTATAGACCTGTGCCACTCTGCCCAGTTATGCTTGCTGCTATATAACATGAGCAGCTGCCCCTAGATAGCCCTCCTTGTGCCTATTTATAGATGCTTGTCACCTTTGCTCTCCAGGGAGCTGTGTCCATCTCCACAGCCCAGATGATGAAGAAAGCCAGTGCCTTTCCCTTCCCTGGCAGAAAGCCCAGCAATCCTTGACCCCCCCACCCTCGCCTCGCCCAGCCCTAATGAGATTGGCTTCCTCTCTTGGATGGAAGGCCACCTCCCACCAGTCTTTATTATTTTCTCTACACCTTCACTAAGCTCCTGGTCTCTTTAAAAAGGCCAGAGCCTATAGCAGAATCCTGAGTTCTTTAGGTCAGCGGCCAGGAAAGCAGGCCGATTCCCAGCAGCCCTGGCAGGAGCCCGATCCCCAAGCCTCTTCACCCTGACATCTGGAGAGGTGAGGCACAGTGGTAGCTTGTCCTCCAAGCTTGAATTGGAACTCCAACCCAGGATTGGGGCTGGGGGCTTTTATCTGGGCTTTCCTCCCATCTCTCCCTTTCCCAATGGCAGGTACCGATGAGTGACATTCAGTGTGGCAATGGCAAGTCCAGTGGGGGGGTCAAGTGTCGCATGTCTTGGTATGAGCGGTTTGTGCAGCCCTGCCTGGTGGAGCTGCTGGGCTCTGCCCTCTTCATCTTCATCGGGTGCCTGTCAGTCATCGAGAATGGACCAGACACTGGGGTGCTGCAGCCGGCCCTGGCCCATGGACTGGCCTTAGGGCTCATCATTGCCATACTGGGGAACATCAGGTGAGTCCAGCTGCCTGCATTCAGCTTGCTTCCAAGTTAGGGGACTCTAGGTATACTCACTATTGCAAGGTGTACTGTAGGGTGAAAGTCAGAATGTCTGGGTTTTTCTCCTAGCTCTGCTGCCTGTGAGCAGATCACTCTCCAAACTCAGATGTCCCTGCCTATAATGTGAAAATAATAGTGTATTTCTTCAATTGTTTTTTTTTTCAAGTCAACATATTGATCACTAACTTTGTACCAGGAAATATTCTAAGCAGATATTAATCTCTACTCCTTATGCAATCTTGTGGGGTCCCCATTTTACCTATGGGAAAGAGAAAGACAAGTGACTTGTCCAGTGGTAGAAAGTGACAGAGCTGGGAGTCAAGTGGTATTTCTGGCTCTGGAGCTCAGACTTGAGCACCTCACAGGAGGGACACAGAATAAAGTGATGTGAAGAACATGTTACACATGTTCTTCAGCCTTGACTGCTCTGCTATAAATATTATTGGGAGGCTACTAAGGGAAAGCAGAGATGTCCTTCTGCTCAGGTATGTGGGCTCCTGCAGGGGTCCCAGGCTGCCAAGAGACACCCAGAGAGGAGGAGCACCTAGTGGGAGGTATTCATTTGGCCTTCTGTCTTCTGAATGGGAGCTCAGTGGTAAGGACTGGGAAAGGGTATGTGTGTATGTGTGTGTGTGTGTGGTTTGTCAGGATAGCTAGACAGATACAGGTGTGATTAAAGAATTTTACAGTAATGGGCATGTTGCCATTAATCCCCCTCAGAATACTCCTCGTCTCTTTGAACACACTTACTCCCACATTCTTGCCACTTTGTGAAGTAGTTCTTGAAGTTCTCTTTCATGAGTGTTTACTAGGTGTGATTAAAAAAAATACGGTGAATGCTGCTAAGTGCCATCCAGAAGAAAAGCAGGTTTGTAAAAATAGGATGGTATGTCTTCATCTTCTTATTCACTGGCGTGGCAACAGGTGACTTCTGATCCTTCCCCAGAGTCAAAATGATCATGAAACATTTTGAATCAGTTCAGGAGAAGGAGGAGCCATAATAGGTCAGCTGAAGACACTCTGGAAGAAGATCTCCAGAATGGCTTCACAGAGTGAAAGAACAATGGGATAAGTGTGTTTGCAGAGAGGGGAGTATTCTGAGGAGGATTAATGGCAATGGGTCTTCTCATGTAACAAATTTGTAACAATTTAAACATTTACCATATGTTTTATTTTTTTCTTTTAAAAAGAATAAAATAAACAAAGCAAAACAAAACAAAACAGGCCAGAGTAAACAACACAAATAACACAGGACTTCAAGATAAGACAACAGGAAATCAACAGTGGCTACCATAATGTCCCTTGTTTTCTTTATCATATGTTTAATCAGTCTCATCTCTTGCATAAGGCACCTGGCAGGGTGATCTGGGACATTGTTGGTCTGTATTTAATCTCATTCAACAAGTAGATATGAGTGGAAAAAAAAAAGAAATACTATTTCTGGGACAATCAGATCAGAAGAAAACTTTACCATCTCATTTAATGCCCAAGGGAGGCTGTGAGTAGAATGAAAAGAACAGGGTCTTCTGTTCAGGTGGATCTGGGATTGAGTGCAACATTTGTCATTGCTTATCTGGGGGATCATGGCAAGTGCATCTGTGCAGTGGTGTAAATGTGCACATTTTATTGAGTACTAACTGTACAGACGGTGTTATGCACTACACATGCATTACTTTATTATGTCTCTGCAATGACCTGATCAGCTAGGGATCCTGGCACAGACAGCTTTCGTTCGGGTCATTTTTCTCCTTTAGAGATATTCATTCTTGGGAACCAGGGGGACTTAGTGGGCCAGTCTCTGGGAACAGATCTTCTATCAGAACGGCAATTCAATGGGATCCTGATGAGCTAGTATGGGAAGAGGGGCTGGGGCCCAAACAGGTCACATGTCTTGGTGAAATGGAGGTTTCTTCACCTATGAGCAATGGAGAGGACAGACCTACCTCTGACCCTGGGTTCTGATTGCCTATCTGTCATCCATACCCCAAACTGTGATTCTCAGTCTTAATCTGACCATGAGCCTTCAGCCCTACCTCTGATTTTCAGAGTCATTTCCATCTGGAATGCCTGATCCCAATTTTACATTTATCCAAAAGGTATTCATATGACTAACCCCTGAGGTCTCTGCTGATTTGGAGCCTAGCTTGGCCTCAGTGTGACCCGTGGCCACATCTCCAAAGAGCCAGAGGGACTGAAGCATTCTGGGAGGAGTTCAGGGATGGTCTTCCAACATGATTTTTCCTCTAGGGACACCCTGGGGCCTAGAGGATTTAGGGGCTGTTCTTCCTTTCCCAGGCTCTGCCCCACTATCCGACACCTCAGTCCAAGGACCTCAGCTGACTGGCCCGACAAGTCCAGCCTGGGGGACCAGCTGAGGTACATTCTCTCACAGCCTCTGCTCAGTGTGGACCCTGGCTTTATGACTTCTTTTTGCTCTGCTCTGCTACAGTGGTGGACACTTTAACCCTGCAGTGTCGCTGGCGGCTACAGTGATTGGAGGCCTCAAAGTGATGATGCTCCTCCCTTACTGGATCTCCCAGCTGTGTGGGGGGATGATTGGGGCTGCCTTGGCCAAGGTAGGTGATCTCCAGGGGGTTGGGCTAGTGGCTTTGCTTTGACGGAACTGCTGGAGGTGTGGAGAGTGGAGGCATGTGGGCAAAGGTTTGACTCTTTGTTTTCTATTTGCCAGTAGAATTGGGTGGTCCTTTTCTACTGGGGCGGGGGTGGGGGGTGGGTGTCTTTGATTCCCTCCAAAACTATCCTGTTCCATCCATGTCTGGACATAGCCCTCTCCTGGACAAGCTAGGAAGCAGGCCAGGCCTGGCATGTCTCTTCCTGAGCTCATTTCTGGCTTTGGAGTAGATGTGGATAATTCTCATGTGTTTTTCATTCCCTAACTTATTCATTCATTCACTCATTCATTTGTCCATTCGTTCTACAAGTGTCTCCTGAAGCACTGACTGAGGATACCCTATGAATCTGATGATTGTCCTTGAAAAATTCTTGAATCAGTTCCTCTGCCTGCCTTTAAACTGAGTTACCTTCCTTGGGAGTTGCTGTTCAACTTATGTTTAGAATCTGCCCACCCAACCAAGAAAGTTAGCTCTTCCTTTCAGCTGTGGAATTTTTATAGCTCTGTGCATAACTCCTTGTCTCTTCCTTTTTTCCTTCATTCTTTTCTCTTTTTTTTTTTTCCCTTAAGCCTCAGTTCTACCAGGGTCCCTTAAAGCTATGAGCCTTGTTTGGCATGAGGGTGTTTGGTAAGGACTGGGAAGACCCACTAGCATGGCTAGTGTTTGGTCTAAGACTCTGTGTTGTCCCCCCGCCCCCTTTGGTCTCAAACTCTGCTCTGCTGTCTTCTTTGCCCTGACTCCTCCTACCCCACCCAAGCACCACCTCTCTCATGGGAAACCTGTCAAAAGTACTTGATGAGCACACCTTTCATCCACCCCTAAACTCCACCTGAACAGTCAGTCCTGAGGGAGCACTTCTTATGTGCCAGGGATGCCAAGGGCCTCTGTAAGATTTTTAAAGCTGCCAGTAGCACCACTTTGGGTGCCCCTGTATGTATTCCTGAGAATTGACCCCGCAGCCTTTGCACTGAGCATAAAGTTGCTAAATTGCCCTTACTGAGCTTAATCTTGTGATTCTTCTGCCTTAGCCTCCCAGAATGTTACATGTATGTACAACCATGCCTGGCATTTTACAGGTGAGGAAATGGGCATAGAGACATAGCATCTTGCCCAAGTTCAGACAAGCTGGTAAGCAGCAGACCCTAAGCTTATGTGTCCCTTGGTTTGCTTTGCTGTAGCTGTGTTCACTGCAGCCTGATTTCCCCAGCAGCAAATTCAGTTTAAGCTTCAAGGCTCTCCTGACACAAGTTCCTTCTGAGGTCCCGTAGTGGGCTAGCTATGTGCTCACCTGATCATATGTATAAAGTTCTAAGGGTTAAAATGTTTTTATTTTCTTTACCTTGAAGTCATCCAAGTTACATAAGCTTCACCTGGAGCCTGTACTGGGCAATCTCTGTTTTCCAGATGAACAAAGTGAGGCTCAGTGAGGTCTAGTAGATGTCACACAGTAAAAATGGATGGAGCTGTGATGTTAACCCTGATCTGTCCAATTTAGATGGACTCTTTAAACTGCACTTGTAGGTCCCTCTGCTCAGCTCTTTTCCTCTCCGTTTGGGTGTCAAGCTGAGTGGCTGTCTTTGCAGGCTGTCAGTATTGAAGACAAGTTCTGGAATGCCTCTGGGGCAGCCTTTGTGACAGTCCAGGAGCACGGGCATGTGGCCAAGGCACTGGGGGCAGAGATCATCTTCACCACACTGCTGGCCCTGGCAGTGTGCATGGGAGCCATCAATGAGAAGACACAGAGTCCTCTGGCTCCATTCTCTATCGGCTTCTCTGTTACTGTGGATATCCTGGCAGGGTGAGTATCTTTCAGCAGATCTGGGCTAAGCCTTGATCTGAAGGAAGTCAGGTCAAAGGGCCCCAAACTCAGTTGGTAATGAGATCCAGAAAGTGGATGCAAATGGGTGAAGTGTGTGGCTATGGACAACTGACAGGGAAGGTTGGGGAACTGGTAGTTAGGAGCCTCTAGGCAGTTATGGTTGTGTGAGAATGTGGGTCCAGGATGAATCTTCTAATTTAATTCAAGTTAGAAATTCAGTCAATTAAGAATTTTTATGAGAGTTTAAAATTTTTGTACTGTGCATGAAACATTTATGTAGGTTGTAGCCTGAGATTTACAAAAATTATATGCATTGTGTTATTTATTTCAAGTCTTTGCTAGTCTTGGGAAGTCATTAGGGAGGCAGGTTCTTGGTTAGGGATTATTTCTCCCATTTTAGAGATGAAGAAACCGAGGTTCAGAGAGAACAGAAGTGATATTTAAGGTTATTGGGCAGTGGCAAATCAAAAGGCTGAAGGGGATGTGGGGTCCTCTTCTTCATGTCCTGCCTTCCACTCTTTTGGACACAGAACCAGGTTTGGCCATTCTCCAAGGACATAATCTGTCACCTTTGAGAGGTGTTCTCTAGGGTGGGCTGGGGAAATCGTGGGTCAAAATTGTTGTGGTACTTTGCTGCCCCCTAGTGGCGATTGTTTCACTTACAAGACTCCTGCGTTATCTCTGATTTTGGTTACTGGATATAAGGTGGATGAGGTATGTAGGACTCTAGCCTGAGTGCATAGGGTAAGGACACAGACACAGACTATCAAGGTGCCCTGGGAAACAGTCCCGTGGAGGAGATTCTGGGCCTCCAGTGTGTGTCATAATAATGACCTCGTTTGGGCCAGCCAGATTATAGTTAACACTTGCTATATATTAACCATGTAGGAGGCAAGGGTTCTATATACATTGCCTAATCCATTCCTGACAGCAGCCTGTGGGAGGGCTATTTCCACCTCAGTGGGGACACAGAGTGGTTAAACGAAGGTCAGAGAGCTATAGCTAGCTGGGCTTGGCTTTGAATATAGGTCAGCTTGATTCCAAAGTGATTGACAACTGTTCGACTTTGCTTTATAGATGTTGTAGAAAAACTTGACTCTTTTTTGCTTCCTGCCATCACTAAGAAAGCATTCTTACTGGTTAGGGTGTGGGGAGAAGGGCAGAGCTTGTTCAAAGAAGAGATATGCCTTTGACTTCCTAGTGCTAAGAATTTTTCCTTTGTTGGGATCCACTCAGGAGCCCTTGATATGGAAGCTTAGAGAAGGTTTCTGGGAGGGCTTTGGCCAACGGCCTAGTTGGGGATATGGATTTGAGGAAGTTGGGGGCTGTCTGGGAGCTTAATGACTGTGTGATTGGGTATTTGCAGGGGTGCTATCTCCGGAGCCTGCATGAACCCTGCTCGTGCCTTTGGACCTGCTGTAGTGGCCGGCTACTGGAACTTTCACTGGATCTACTGGCTGGGCCCACTCCTGGCTGGCCTGCTTGTAGGACTGATCATTAGGTGGGTGTCATATGGGCCCATGGTGATAGCTGTCAGGGAATCCAGTGTGCAAAGGCTGGGCTTTCTCTGGGTTTGGAGAAGGATACGGAGAACCTTCTCCAGAAGCAAAGCATCTGGGTCTTTTTAGGATCTTTGGTTAGAAGTGACGGAAGTCTATCTCATAAGGGGAAATCTTTTGTTCTCACATTGCTGTTATACAACCTCAGGGCCCATTTAAATCAGAAAACCATGTAAATGATGTCCCCAGGATCATACAGGTCTGGGGATGGCATTCACACAAAATACAATGTGAACAGTGTTCCCTAGAATTGTGCAGTGGATAGAAAAAAAGATTGTCATTATCAGAAGAATGAGTGGATTCTAGGTAGAAAAACACAAAGGATCTTCTGTCCTGCTTGATCTTTACTCCTTGAGTTCCTTGTCACACTCTGTTTATTTGCTCTGGGCGGTACAGGAATCACTGTCTAGATTTAGTACAAGTTAGGTCAGCAAATATTGTCTGGAAGAGGACAGGCCATAGGCTGGCCCACCCAGACTGCTTGTATTGCCAACGGGCCTCAGGATCCCATCAGTGGCTCTAAAAATCATTGTGCATCCTTCTCTGTCTGCTGCTTTTAGGATGGCAGCAATGAGCATTTTCTAAAGGAAGACAGAAATCCAAGAGGAAACTGTCTCCCTCACCCCAAGGCTGGAAAAGCTCAGGAAATCATTCTTCTGGAGAACTTTGGTCCTGAAGAAAGACAATGAGAGGCTGTTTTTCCTCCAGGGCCTTGAAGACCTGATAAAGCCATGTGTTTTTCTGTTTTGTTTTTTGTAGGCTCCTCATTGGAGATGGGAAAACTCGCCTAACCCTAAAGGGCCGATGAAGCAGAGCTGGTGGGGTTCCTGCTTCCCTGGCCCTCTCAGCTACCCAACCCTTGGCTGAGGACAGGAATCTGCATTTCTGGCAAGGCAAAGGCCCACAGAAGCAACTGACCTGTTTCTTTGGATTTGGGTTTGGCTTATTAGACAGACAAGCTGCCATGAAGTCCTAAGGAGGCTCTGGGTCTTGAAATACTTCTATGCTAATCGCAAGCCTCAGCCTAGAGAACATATTGTCAGAACCACCCAGAAAGAGGTGGAAACGGCATAGTAAAGGAGGTTTTCCTTGAGAGGGAAGGTCTCAGGAGCAGAACAGTGGGAAGAGGTGGAGGTCTATGTACATTAGCTAGATTCTCCTATCTCACATCCCACTCCTCTCTTTTTTCGGTGCAGGGATCCAACTCAGAGTTTCAGACATGCCAGATAAGTGCTGCGCTTCATCATTGAGTCATATCCTAGCCCTCAACATCCCTATCTTTGCCCTCTGTTGTTCTTTGATTCCTGTTATAGAAAAGCCTTCTGGACCTTGATCACCTCATTGCTTCCCAAGCTGCCAATCTAACTTCATAATAAACAATCTAACATTCCTCCCCCCTCTCATTGCCTATCATTTGGGAGATGGCACTACTAGGGAGGACCTAAAACTCTGTGGTGGGGCGTTGCCTGTAAAGAGCCTGGGTAAGCCTAGAGAACCAGCTGCTAGTGTCATGGCAGGTTCTTGGAGTCGGGTGTAACTCAGAGCCTGTCTCACTTCACCAGGCTCATCCTGGAACTCAGTTTGGAGCTGAGAATCCACTTAGACATTAATCGTCAATTCCAGATCATCAGCTGAAGTTGACGGAAGCCAGTGCACAGCCAGAGAATGCTTGAGTGCCCAGTACTTTTGGGTCAATATATTTATTGCACTCCAGCTGGGGGAGGAGGTAGGGTAGAGCTACAAGAATTTCCTAGGGAAGACTATCCTGAGCAAGGGATGCAGTAGAGCTCTGAAAAGAGTGAAAGATATAAGAAGAAATTAAGACGTATTCAGAATGGCACACTTTCTGAAAAGAGTATGCATCTTCCCATTAAGAATCTATAATTCACTTATGGAAAAGGACCATTATGACACCATAAATAAGGGGTGATGAAAAATCATTCTGTGATACACACACACACACACACACACACAAATTCTATAAGATGAATGAAAACCTACCTGATCAAAAATGAAATGCTCACCAGGAGCTGGGCATGGTGGAACAATGCCTGTAACCTCTGCACTTTGGGAGTCTGAGGCAGGAGGATTACAAGTTTGGTACCCACCTGTAAAACTTAGCAATGTAATGAGACCCTGTGTCACAATTAAAAATAAAAGAGGGTGGGTAAGTAGCTCAGTGTGAAGGCCCTGGGTTCAGTCCCCTATATTGTAAAACATCAAACCAAAACAAAAAACTCATTTGAGGAAAATCAACAATATAATCACATACAGCCTATGAAATGTATATCTATCTATTTATCTGTCTATATATATCTATATCATCATCTATAACATTCAAACATTCTCTGAGAAAAGAGTACAAGTAAAATGAAGAAGTACAAAGAAGAGAAAAAGGGAGGAAATATTAAAAATCAGAAACAAGCAAATTAAAAGACTTACATACAGTAAAGAAAGTTGTAAATTATTTCACTTGGGGAAATAATGAAATCAACCTTTGAAAGATCTAATAAATAAGAAAAGTTATATATGAAAGTATGCATATATACAGTGTCTATAGTTAGCATTTATTATTATATATTAGGCAATGAATGCTTTATGTACATTATGACCTTTCTTTCTACAACAATCCTATGAAGTAATGTAGAGATGTTGAATAGTGCTCCCTCAAATTCTTTTGTGTTCAATTTCAGGATGTGCCCTTATTTGGAAATATGGTTTTTGTAGATGTAGCTTGAAGTAAGCACCAAGATGAGACTCTCTGGGATTATGGTAGTCTAAATCTAATGATAGTACCCATATAGAAGAGAGAAAATGACATACACAGACACGTATTCTAAGAACACCACACAAAAACAGAGGCAGAGATTGTGTTACAGTGTCACAAGCCAGCACCAGGGGCCAGGATCTGGAAGAGGGAAGTCTTTTTCTCTGGAACTACGGGAGGCAACATGTTCCTGCTAACACCTTGATCACAGATGTCTGGCCTTCAAGACTATGAAACAATAAACTTTTATCATTTTAAGCTATCAATTTCTCATAGTAGCTCAAGTAAATAATACAGGTAGGTACTCTTATTCTCATTTTCCAGATAAGCAAATTAATACAGATTCCCAGAGACATTACCCAAAGTCACACAGTTAGGATGTTAGTCGAGCCAACATTTAAAAATCACAGCTGCAGAGTCCATGATCTGTGTTGCTATACTTCACTATTTCTGGGGAAGGGACAATATTATGTCTTTGGTCATGTCTCCTACTTGATTATTAGTCCTCTGTTAAAAAGGGAACAGAAAGGCATGTATTATGACCTTCCACTTCAAAAATACAACTGCATTTCAAGATCTGATTTTCATTTCAACTTTCAGACAAGTTCTCAAGAGAGAGATGGATACAAATTCATTTTGTCATTCTACATTATGGATTTCCTGCATCCTACTTACTGAGAAGGGACTCAGTAAGTAGGAATGGCATAGACTGACTACAGTGGCTTCCAAACTCATTCTGAGCCAACAGAGTAGAATCCAAAATTGGCTCAGTGTGAGTTCATGCCAACTCTACCTCTTCTTTTCTCAGTAACAAGGAAAGGAGGTCACAGTATTTTAGGATGTTAGAACTAGAAACATTATAGTAGTAAAATGTAATGACTATGAGTTTGTATTTTGAGAAGGATATAAATTTTAAATCTCAGAACTGTCACCTTTTTCGCCATATGTACTTGAAGAAGCTATTTAACTTGTCTCAGATTCAGCTTTTTAATTTCTAAACTGGGAAGACTGTTTCAGAATGCTGGTAAGAAATCACTAACATGTGTAAAGAGCATTATGATAATGTTTACTATGTAGTAAACACAAAATCTGGTTAGCACTTACATTTATTGCCATTATTTAAATTTTGCAATTTTAAGGTATTATAATCATGGCAGGGGGATAGATTTTTGGTAAGAAGTTTCTCAATGAACTTAGCACATATGTGTTTTCTCAGTCAACTATTCTTGGATAAGGATGTTTAGGCTTCTCATGTGGAAAAGGTTGGGAACTACTCATTCTGTCCAACCATATAAGAAGGCTAAATAATATATGACTATGAGGTAGTGACAGGGTTCAATTAGAATCAAGAATTCTAGGGCTCCTTCTACTGCAACAGGCATGTACCTGTTCTAGACCTATGGATACAAGTACTGATCTGTTTCCTTTCACTAGAGTCACCTAAGTTCTCACAGGCCATGTTACTGGGCAGTCCAGCATTAATATGTTGCACTTCTCCCTTACTATCCTGTCAAAAAACTCTGAGGGTTTAAGCAATCTAAAGGGAAGAGTGCTTATCTTCTCCTGGCCTGAAGAACTGAGTTAATTTTTTACCTTGTGTTGGCAGGTGCTGTCATCTCTTTCCTGCCACCTACAGTTGCTGTTGGGAGTGGTTCTCAAAGATGGCATAAGCCTTGCTGAGTCACACTTGTCCAGGCCAGAGAAGTTCTTGAAATTGGGCCCCATTTCTGACAGTTCCACAACTTTCATGCCAAGCACACCTGTGTGTTTCACACCATCCATACTCATGTGTCAAAGCAACCTGTAAGGCCTTCTAGGTCTCTCTTCCCTTTACCACAGGTCCCTACCTCTAGTACTCTGTACACACAACACAGTTCAATCATCTGAGAGGGATTTAGGAAGTTGTCTATTTCTCCTCCAAGTCCCTGGACCCATCATGGAGTTTGAGGATTTGTGATTAGCTATGTTACCTTTGGGCTTGAAACCAACAGATTTATTTTCTCAATGTCTAACTGCCTCAAATGATTTATAAGAACTAAAAATTTATAACCCTTAGCAATTTTTCTCCCCTTAGAGATTTAAAGTCTTTCACATAGTTGGCAGACATGAGTCAGTCCACAGACTTAACTCTCTATGAAAAAAAAGCGGGGCAGGTAATTTAAGCAAGAACCTTGATATAGCAATGCACATGAATATTATGAATCTCTATCTTGACTCTCTCCGAAAAGATTTGTCAAGGAAAAGATAATGATAGAGATTCACCTAGATATTGATGGTCTGTTGGTAGTGACTCAGAAGCTATAATTCTTGAGGTCTTTGTCCTATTACAGTATGTTGCATGTAGAAGTTTATGAAGTCCATGTGATAGAAACACTTGGTCTAAGTCAGTTATGGTGGCATATACCTGTAACCCGAGCACTTGGGAGGCTGATGCAAGAGGATTGTCATAGGTTTGTAGAGACAGAGCAAAATGTAAACAGAGACAAAGGTCATGAACTGGGTGACTGATGGTTATAGAAATGATCACATGCTTACTTTGCATGATATACTTGAGGAAGTTGCCCTTTGTAAAACCTTTGGATGCATTTGGTCTGTGCCTCTACACCCCATGATTCTTTTTTTTTAACTTTAAAAAATTTTTTTTAAAGAAAAACTAAACAAAACAGAAAAAGGGTAGAAATAACACATATTTTCAAAGAAAAAAATAAACAGTAATAAATCACTTGTTAATGATTCCAGATTGTCTTCTTCCAAATAGTTATTCAAGATACTAAAGTGGAGCATATAAAATGGGGATTCAAACAGTGAGACTGCAACGAGTTCTGTTCAACTATCCAACAAAAACTTAGAAATATGGTTATCAATCCTATACACTTAAACATACATGCAGTTATCCATATCGTCAATTATGTTGAGAGTGAACAAACCCAAGCAGGCTAATATCACTCTGAGCAAAGAATAATACTATTGCTGGGTTTCACATTATGACACTCCAGGATCAGCACTGGGTACTTTAGTGTCTCTTTTTCTTCAAAGTATCTGTTCACTTTATCATGTGTCATAAGATCAGTTCTCATAAACTGCTTATAGATTCTACACATGCATGAGTCTTAACATGTATTTCTATCCTTTCTATATTAGAGGGAGAAACAAAACAAAGCAAGACAAAACAAAACATATTCCTATAAACATATGAAATGAAAAAGACATATAAAAACGTTGTACAAGGAGTTCTATCATAGTTTCTGTGTTGTCACTTGTTATCTTCAATAGAATTGGCTATATCATCAGACATAGTATAACTGAATATATCAGTACATAAGAGTATTAACAAAAATACAACTTTGTATATAGTATAAAACTTCAAAAACTGGCAGTCATCAAACCAGAATGTGTATCGTAGAGTCTTATTATCTTCAGTGTAGTTGCTTGTACTCTCAGACTTGATACTATTAATCATCAGTTTTGAATAAAATCTGTCTATACCAAACAGCAATCAAACAAACCAGATTTAACTAAGATCAGTTGTGATAAAGCAGTATAAGTCATACAGGGCTCCAGATTAAGATAATAGAAAATTAAAGATGATTACTGTGCTATCACCCCATGATTCTTAGCTCATC